TATGTGTTTTTAATTGTATTTTAATGGTGATGATTTGTGCATTGTGTGGTGTGGACTGTGAGGCGCTTTGTGTTGCCCTGTGCAGGAAAAGCGCCCTATAAATAAAGATTGATTGATTGATTACAGTGGTACTTAGAGGTACTTACAGTGGTACTTACAGTGGTACTTCTAGGTACTTATTGTGATAATTCTAGATACAGCTGTAACTTAGTAATTCAAGGATACTACAGCATTATTCCTATGTAGTAAATGTGGTACTTCTACATACATACATACAGAGGTCATTTGTAGGATTGTTTGACTATAAAACATAAAACAACATTATGTAAAACAAACGTCTTTATTAATATGGAATAACTAATATGGGTTCAACTTAAAAGAAAAGAAACAAATACTAAGGCAAATAAAAAATGTATACAAATTTAATGGGGTAAGTTATTACTGGGGGCCACAAGATAATTTCAGATGGTTTCACGACATGCCCCCGAGCCGGATACATGTAGCAGTTCTCGTTCTCGCGGTGACAACCTGCTGTACAGACATCCAAGACGAGACTAATGTCCGATCATCGTGAGTGCTGTAGGTGCGCACGGTCGTGTTCAGAAACCTACACAGACATTTGTAAGGTTAATTACATGTCAGTGCCAGCGGAAAAAGCAGAGAAGACCCTTGTCTGAGATTCGGACCGTGAGGGAGCGGGCTCCCACGAGTCCATCTGGGGTAGAGTTTCGCTTTTCAGCCCGAGCCCGAGCAGGCCCGAGCCCGACCCGAGTACGGGCCGGGCTTGGGCCTCACTTCAGCGCTCAGCAGTCGGGCCGTTCCGGGCTCGGGCTCCTTTTTATTTTTCCTTTTTTTATTTTTTTTAATCAATATTTTTTATTATTTATGATTTTCATACATAATGATATGCATATATGTATTTATTAATAATAATGTCCGTTGATTGACAACAAGTTATTAAAAAAGTTGATATATTTATCACCGTAACCGGCGTGTCCTACAGCCGCAGCAAGCCGTGAACGCATCATCCCTGTTTTTCCTGTTGAATGCTCTGGTCAACAGCGAACACACGGAACATAACAGAAATGGATCAGGTGGACGTACAAAACACATTCAGAAGTGGCTAAACTTGCAATTGGAAGGTGAGTGCGTACAACAAGGGAAATCAGATGTGTCGGGTTTCTGTTGGGCTCGGGCCTATTATACAGCCTTAATTGGTCGGGCTTATACGGGCTCGGGCCGGGCTTGATTTTTCAGGCCCGAACGAAACTCTAATCTGGGGAAGGTATTGGCGAATGGAGAGAGCTTAAAGAAAGGTAAAGGTGCAAAACAGACATAGGCCATGCGATGTTGTAATTTCACTTGTAAGTCTAAACTATAATGACCTTCGCCTGTGTCAAAGGTGTGGGATAACTTTTAAGTGGCCCATGGCTATGTAGCGTTAGCCGTTTAGCTACCAGACGCCATTATCATGCTGCTGATTCTCCGGTGGATACACCGGTGTCGAATAGATATGAATGTAAAAGCCACATGTTTATGCTTGCTACGATGCAGGCAGTTTGTCAAGTTGGGATTCGTAAGTTGTTACAGTGATTTGTAGGTGGCAGTTTAGCCATGCGTGCAATAATATGGTACGAGTTCAGCAAGCGGAGCGTTAGTGGTATGTTTACTACTGTAAATGCCGAAGGACTGTCATAAATGAAAATGTTTGCGTCCGAATATAACGGAAGGGTTAGATTTATGTTCAATTGTAATCGTTGCATACTGCTTGTAGTGTAGTAATTCAAATTTTACGCGGGAGGCTAACGCGCATGTGCGTTAATGCATCTATCCATCGTGCTGGTATTATCTAAAATGTAGTGTGCAGAAATGTATTTTTGGAACAAAACGGGGAGACAAGAGTTGTTGAAAGTGCGCAAATAAGTCATTTATTCACAGATAGTCGGAGTAACATGGATTAAAGAGAACACAAATGAAGAGATATGGTGTGTGACTCTGTGTTGAGTTGAAAATGAGTGGTGTTTGAAGACCACGACCAAAAGTATTGCCATGTAATACCCCCACTCTGATAATTAGAAATGTAGATAATATCAACACAAATACCATTGAATAAAAGTAGTGTTTTGATTTGATCTTTTACGTGACTTACTTTGTTTCTTGACCGTAATTTACAAATGTATGCCGTTTCAAATTGTATTGAATAATCCATACATATGTGTATATTAATATTATATTGTTCTTCTCTTGACATCAATGTGCATCATGGGCGGTGGCGCAGATTGTAGAGGAGGACGGCGGCCAAAGGATGGCATATGTACTTGGACATAGAGACAGAGGGAGGACCAACCGTGTGCCACCTTTCATGCAATAGTACTGTGAGCTCACAGCACTGGAGCCGACATGTCAGCTGGCATAAAGGCATAAAAAACACAAACAACGGAGACCATGTCTCTACACACCAGACAGTAACTATGATTGTACCAAAAGCACAATGATATGAGAGCATAAACGAATTGTCTATGTAGCAACGCACATAATATTACTATAGTAGTAGTGTTACCCAACTGGCTTCAGTCTGTGTTTGAAAGACCGCGTGTGAATGTGGGCCAATGAACCAGTCAGGACACTTTACAAAAGTAGGCCTCAGAATGCTCAGCGCGTTCTGTCATTGTCGCTAATGCAAACTTTCTAAAAAACTTGATCAGATTAACAATATTAAATATTAATATGCTAATAAAGTCTAGGTTGTTAACACATGTTCTGCTTTTAATTATCAGGTCGAGAGAACAACAACAATGAGCACAAAAAAAAGTAAGTAATAATGATGTCCACATGCTGTTAATAAATGCATGGTTGTAGCCATGGATTTATTTATTGTAGGTAAAGGTAAATGTTTAATGAGCACAGGAACTGAACCTTAGTATTTGTAAAATCTTGGCTACAGTCCTGTCTAATAATTTTTCAACATGTATTTTACCTTTTTCTTGCAGAGGCAAACTTTGAACAATGCCATGGCGGTGGAGTGAAGAATGAGGACTGAATGGTTTTCTAAAGTCCACAAGCCAGTGCTCTTTTCCCCTGGCTGACAACAGTCATCAAAAGCAGAAGAATCAGACAGAGCATGCATCAAACATGCATGCAAATCTGTCGCCTTTCATGGAAATTCACCATTTTGACGTGGGAAAATATAATTCACATGACTCATCTAAATCTGCAATATAAAAACAGGAGGGCATAAACTGCACTGGTTGAGCCACGGACAGTAGGCCAATACACTAAATTGCATGTTTACCTTTATTGCCGCTTGGATTCATGAAGTAGTGATGGGCAGCGGGCTAATGCATCAGCCTACGCTACAAAGTTGCATTGACGCAGTTCACCTGTGCATGAGACATGAGCACCGAATCTAATGTAGGTTTTCCAATGATAATTAGTATTGGACAATAGCGGCATGAAATGTGAGTGCAAGCCAACCTATAAAGCAGGGGTGCTCACACTTTTTCAGCATGCGAGCTACTTATAAAAGGATCAAGTCAAAATGATCTACCTACTACAAAAATGCAAATCATATATTTCAAAAAATATTCTTTATATCTACAATGTATGTTTATGTACATGCAAAACCGCATGAGCATAGCACAACACAACACAATTACCTATGTACATTTTTTGTCATTTCCCGAGTTTACTCTTATGACTTGCACTGAATTGAATCGGCCAGGGATGCATAGTCCGGAAAATTGGTGGCAACTCGCTGACAAGTTTGTCGTGGTTTTGCTTTCCTGCACTGAGCGCGGTTGTTTGCGCATGTGCAGTCACCTAAGTGTCAGTAAAACATTACTTAGTAAAACACAGATGTCATTTGACTGTGGTGCCATGTCCATGTGCCATGCCTGTTTTTTTTAAATCCAAATATTTCCCCTCCTCAGTTTATAAAATAATTTGCATCCACACATCTGCGTTATCAATCACATTCGTAACATTCCAAACATGTGCGTCTCTTACGTCCTGTCCTGCGTTGGGGAAAAACACAGAAGTGGGCGGAGTTCTGATGCAGACGCCGGTAACGGCACTTTTACAGTCATAGAAGACACTCAGAGTAAAGACATATGTTTACAAGCACTGACCCCGTCCTCAGCCCTGGTTTAGTCCTGGTTTAGTCCTGGTTTAGTCCTGGTTTAGTCCTGGTTTAGTCCTGGTTTGGTTGTTTTCGAGCGTGAGTCCCTGCGATCACTTTGCTGCTCTCTGATGTGAAGGATGTTTGCTGCTGCGAGCATCTCACAGCGAACAGTTTTTAAGGTAGTATGATCCATGCTTCAGTGATCAGAGGAATTTAGGGGGGTACTGTGGCGTGCGAGAACGCAAAACTCTGGTTATCTCTGTCTACACACAAATGCATTAACGGAGTTTTCAAAAATCTCCACTTTGCCCGGAGTTTTTTGTATATATTCGTTTAGAATGTGTAATTTTTTATTTATTTAATGCGATCTACCAATACTACCTTTGCGATCGACTGGTAGATCGCGATCGACGTATTGAGCACCCCTGCTATAAAGGTAACGGATAGCTATAATTTACCGTTTGGTGGAGGCTTAACTGACCAGGTAGGTGCTCATGTCCCCGTGCGTGCTCTGCGCTCGCTTTTATGAGCAATCGCGGTCAGCGAGGCGTGTGGTCATTGTGTGCTATTGATGTGATTTATGCTCATGAAGCTCTTCGCGAAAGTTCACTGTGGTAGACCCGGCCACTGCTGCCAGATCTACAAGCCTGCTCATCCTCTACTCATTACACCAGCAAAACGCCCACATCTAATCTACCAATAACCACCAGGACAGCAAGTTAAAAGCCGGAGACGCCCACTTCCCGGCCTTCTGAAGTCTGCAAAGCCTCTGAAATCTGCAAGGTGCATGTCGCTAACGCACCTGTTCGCAAATGCATGCGTTGTTCTGGAGGGGTCGCTTTCTGCTCACGTGTTGCTCGTGCGCGTGGCCCGGCTGTCCTCAGTCTGGCTGCTCGTGGTCTGCTCCTCCTCCGCGTCCCTGCACCTGCTGTGGTTCGCGTGTCTCCACTGCTCTCCTCCTCTGCGGGCTGATCCGCGGGGCCCCTCCGCGGGGCCCCTCTGCAGGTTCTGTGCTGCTCGTTCCTCGTGGTCTGCTGCCGCGCGCAGACGGTCTGGCGGTGCCGTGCATGTCCCGTTGCTTTTCCCAAGTCTCCTGGCATGTGAGTACAGTGAGTGTGCCGACCGCGGACGGATTAATCCCGGAGTCTAGGTTGCAGGCGGCTGGTTTTTGCCCTACGCACTTGACTGCAGGCGTCAGTTTTCGCCCCGTGCTTGGTCTGCAGGCTCCGTTTTCACACGTGTTTGAGCTAACTGACAGAGGTGGGACAAAGTCATTGTTTAGCAAGTCACAAGTCAGTCTCAATTCATTGCCCTCAAGTCCCGAGTCAAGTCACGAGTCAAGACAGGCAAGTCCCGAGTCGAGTCCAAGTCAAAGGCCAACAAATCTCAAGTCAGTCCCAAGTCCTACGGTTTGACTTTCGAGTCCTCTCGAGTCTTTTTGACCGCGATTTGTTTCTTGTTGGTCTCCACGTACTTTTGTAGGCAAACAAAATAATGTTAGGAATCATTTTGCAGGTGCATTCTCGTTGGTCTCTGACCCATGGACTAACAGTTTGTTCCATGTCGTTGGCTGCTGGTAAATCAAAACTATCTACGTGATCTAATTGGATGTTGTGCCAGATGCAGGCTCAGTTACACAGGCACAGACCACACATAAAATCAGAGCAGTCCGTGTCAACATACTTTTTATCTTTGGGGTTTTTAATGGGAAGTAGCAAGTGCAGCATATATGAATATGAGTATTGGGCTAGGACCTGTATCTATATAATCAGTTTAATGTCCATAGTGGTTATTGTTCCAAAGGACTGAAGGGACCAATGGAGGGGAAGGACCCTGGCCTGTATGAACTGGGCCAGCATTAGTAATATCTCATAATTACCAATATATCATTACATAATAAAATGTCTCATATAAATTCATTCAATCAGTCAAAGTACTGATTCTCATATCAATGCACCATAAACAATAGTGCAAATATTAATCTAGCTTAGTGCACATAATCAAAACAACTATCTAATGTATGCAAACTTTAGCAGGAGGAGCACAGCAAAAACTCATAATACTCATAATAATAGGCCTCGGCGCCCACACAGAAAAATATAAGAAAGAGCCAACAGAGCAGCGCAGGCTAGCGCTAGTTTGACTCACCAGTTCCTCTTTAAAACACGGCACAGAGTGTGACAACTGCGTTGATTCAATTGTATGAGGCGCCTGTAGTGAAAGCATATCAATTACGGTTTGTAGAACAAAATATGACGTTAGGTCGCGATAAATACCTGCAGCTCGCTCATTTCCAGCTCCCCTAGACAACACACCCACCGGTGAATGCAGTCCGCTTGTTTAGGAAAGTGTTGCTGCGCGAACTGCCTGGAACTCACGTTCGAACTCTCGCGCGAGCGCTACAACTACCGCGAGGCTTTGTTTCTTCAGAGATGGCATAGATAGAAAGAGAGATGCGGAGAAAGGTAAAAATGGCCCGGGTTACGCAAGTCTTTGCAAGTCAATTGGCGCAAGTCCAAGTGAAAGTCAGAGTCATTGATGTTAAAGTCCAAGTCGAGTTGCAAGTCTTTTTATATTTGGTCAAGTCGAGTCTAAAGTCATCAAAATCATGACTCGAGTCTGACTCGAGTCCAAGTCACATGACTCGAGTCCACACCTCTGCTAACTGAGGGGCAATGCATATTAAATGGCATCAATCTCTATTGTCTGAGGGATATAAGAGGAGCAATGTGCATTAATTCAGATTCATGTTCTGCCACTTGCAGTAAAACCACGTTGGAAAACATGTGCAAAGACTACCCCATCGTGCTCCAGACGGCACACACCAGAGCTCTTGCCACGGCGCCATCTTTACAGCATTAATCTCATTACTCGCAGGTCACTATTGTTAAATGGATGTATTTAAATTCGTCTATCTGCAGGAGGAAAGAGGGGCCATGCATTTAAATAGCTAGGTCACTAGTATTAAATTGGGTAACTAAACTGCAGTTGTTGCATTTTGAAAGTGCAGCAGAAAGAAAAAGGGCCCAATGTGAATCTGCAATGGGTTTGAAGTGGTGTTGGAGCTAATGAACGCGTGGAAAAGTGATCGTTCATGCGTCTCTGCCATAACCAAAGCAGAAGATGGCTCCAGGGGACGTCTGTTATTCGCATGGGAATGTTTCGGATTCGGGTTGATTTATTTCCTCAGGCTGTTAAACAACCATGGGCATGGTTCTCTGACCGCCGCTGCTGCGGTCCCTGCTGCCATTCCTACTGATGCCTGTTCCCACTGCCGCTCCTGCTGCTGCCTGTCCCTGCTGCCTGCTCCTGCTGCTCCTACTACTACATGTGCCGCTGCTGCTGTTCCTGCCGCTGCCGCTCCGCGGGCTCCCGGGCGGCACCTGTCTCTACGGCTTGGCTCTTTCAGACACGTATGTAACCTGGCTCACGGAGACAAGCGGCGCACGCTGGCGTGACACGTCTGTTGTTCGTATGAATCGCATTGTGGTGCTACTGCTCCTGCTAATGCTGCTTCTGCTGCTTCATACTGCTACCGCTACTGCTGCCGCTAATGCTGCTATTGCTGCCGCTGCTGCTTCATACTGCTACTGCTGCCGTGCTGCTGCTGCTTCTTTACTTTGACACCTCTCTTCACTTCGCATCTCTTTTACTGAAACACTAAACAGCTTCAACAATATTCTACTGCTGTGGCTTTGATACAGGATTATTGCTGTTATTATCTACGGATGCTGCAACCGCTGCTGCTGCTGCTGCTTCATACTGCTGCTACTGCTGCTGCTTCATACTGCTACTGCTGCTCCTGCTAATGCTGCTTCTGCTGCTTCATACTGCTACCGTTACTGCTGCTACTGCTGCCGCTGCTGCTTCATACTGCATCTGCTGCCGTGCTGCTGCTGCTTCATGTACTTTGACATCTCTCTTCACTTCGCATCTCTTTTACTGAAACACTAAACAGCTACAACAATATTCTACTGCTGTGGCTTTGATACAGGATTATTGCTGTTATTATCTACGGATGCTGCAGCTGCTGCTGCTGCTACTGCTTCATACTGCTACTGCTGCTGCTTCATACTGCTACTGCTACTGCTGCTGCTTCATACGGCTACTGCTGTTACTACTGCTGCTGCTGCTTCATTTACTTTGCCATCTCTCTTCACTTGCATCTCTTTTACTGAAACACTGAACAGCTACAACAACATTCTACTGCTGTGGCTTAGATACAGAACTATTACTGTTATTTTCTAAGGACGCTGCTGCTGCTGCTGCTGCTGCTACTGCTGCTGCCGCGGCTTGATACAGGACTATTGCTGTTATTATCTGAGGTTACTGCCGCTGCTGCTACTGCTACTGCTACTGCTGCAACCCACTCTCTCAGAAGCTTATCCTGCTTCTAATGGATGCAGCCTGGCTGAGTATGCCGCGCTGCGCTGGACTCGCACCTATGCTCCCAGGGTCGCTTCGGCGGTCGTGCTTCATCTCTCTACTTAATCTTCTGATCTATCAGATGCAGCTGGCCGAGTAGCTGCGCTGAGCCGTCAATCGGACTCCGCATCAAAGGCATCCATACCTGGTTCTTCACTCTTCTGATCACAGGCTCCCCATCATGCTGCCCATCCTGCAGCAGCTCTGAGCGGCACTGAACTCCGGCTCATCTTCCAAGTACATGTCTGCCCTCCTCGCAGCATCTTCCTGCTCTCCTTCTGTGGCTTCTCTGCATAAGCGTCTCTCCATTGCTCACTCAACCTTCATGCGGTCCGAGACACGGCTTTCCCGACCATCCTACTATCCTGATTATCTACTCTCCAACCCAAGATTCTAAGCGTAAGGGCGCCTGCATCATCAATGGCCCTCTCCGATATGTCTCTGCCCCTACAGGTCTCCGCTTCTACACGGACGCTGCCCCTTCCGTGGGTTTTGGGGGATTCTTCCAGGACCATTGGTTTGCCGAGCGTGGCCGCTACTTTCCACCGGAGCATCTCCTCTGCCTACACAAGATATTCCCAGTGGTCGTGGCCGCGCGCTGTGGAATCACACGTGGCAGAGAAAGAGGATTTCTGTCATGTGTGATAATCTCGACGTAGTGGAAGCATTAAACAAAGGTCGCTCTTTTTCACCCAACATAATGTCCCCTGACCATTTCAACCTTCATCTCAAACATTCAAAAATCAAAGGAGCCTGCAATATAGTAATAGCTCGCTCGGACACATCTCTCTGCCCCTACAGGTCCATGATGCGTTACACTCGCCTCCGCTGCAAAAAGGAGAGTTTAACGGACCTCTATTTCTCACTCCAGACATTCTTCCCATGACAGCAACCTGGTTCAGAGCTCAACTAAGATCCCTACTGCTCCTCTGTAAATTGTCTCCCCAGCTCTACACAGCTCACTCCTTCAGGATAGGCGCTGCCACGCGCGCAACCTCGCTGGGGCTCCCCCACACCTCTCTGCAACAGCTGGGGGCGCTGTTCCTCTTCGGCTTTCTCCGCCTACATCAGGCCAGACGCGTCCGCCATCCTGGCTGCACAACGTCTACTGGCTTCTTCGTAAGCTCCCAGCAAAGCGATACAAAGCAAAGTAAGTGATCCAATAAAGATTCTGGTGGCGGCACGCACTTTCTCAAAGACAACTCTGTTGCAGCGTTTGATCGTGATGCGAGCGCTCACGTCCCGGCGCTTAAAGACAACTCTGCTGCAACGTCTGGTATCGATCGTGATGCGAGCGCTCACGTCCCAGGCAGCGTCCGGTTGATCGTGATGCGAGCGCTCACGTCCCGGCGCTTAAAGATAACTCGGCTGCAACGTCTGGTATCGATCGTGATGCGAGCGCTCACGTCCCAGGCAGCGTCCGGTTGATCGTGATGCGAGCGCTCACGTCCCGGCGCTTAAAGACAACTCTGCTACAACGTCTGGTATCGATCGTGATGCGAGCGCTCACGTCCCAGGCAGCGTCCGGTTGATCGTGAGCGAGCGCTCACATCCCGGCGCTTAAAGTCAACTCTGGTTCAGCGTCTGGTATCGATCGTGATGCGAGCGCTCACGTCCCGGCGCTTAAAGACAACTCTGCTGCAACGTCTGGTATCGATCGTGATGCGAGCGCTCACGTCCCAGGCAGCGTCCGGTTGATCGTGATGCAAGCGCTCACGTCCCGGCGCTTAAAGACAACTCTGCTACAACGTCTGGTATCGATCGTGATGCGAGCGCTCACGTCCCAGGCAGCGTCCGGTTGATCGTGAGCGAGCACTCACATCCCGGCGCTTAAAGTCAACTCTGGTTCAGCGTCTGGTATCGATCGTGATGCAAGCGCTCACGTCCCAGGCAGCGTCCGGTTGATCGTGATGCGAGCGCTCACGTCCCGGCGCTCAGATATAACTCTGCTTCAGCGTCTGGTATCGATCGTGATGCAAGCGCTCACGTCCCAGGCAGCGTCCGGTTGATTGTGATGCGTGCGCTCACATCCCGGCGCTTAAAGTCAACTCTGCTACAGCGTCTGGTATCGATCGTGATGCGAGCGCTCACGTCCCAGCGCTCAGAGATAACTCTGCTGCAGCGTCCGGTTGATCGTGAAGCAAGCGCTCACGTCCCGGCACGCAAAGATAACTCTGCCCGTTTTTGGGGATTATGCGCGCGAGCAAGCGCCGCACTCATCAGCATCTCTCCCGGGCCTAGGGCGCCAAACATACTCAATCAATAAACTTCTAACTGCATTTTCCTCTTGGGTCTCTCCAAAGTGAAATGAAGCTCTTCGCGAAAGTTCACTGTGGTAGACCCGGCCGCTGCTACAAGCCTGCTCATCCTCTACTCATTACACCAGCAAAACGCCCACATCTAATCCACCAATAACCACCAGGACAGCAAGTTAAAAGCCGGAGACGCCCACTTCCCGGCCTTCTGAAGTCTGCAAAGACTCCGCCGCCCCACCTCCTCCTTCTCTCTTCAGAGCGTGCTCGCCTGCTGCCTCTGCCGTCACCAGTGCCTAGGCCCCGGGGGGGATTATGCGTGCGAGCAAGCGCCGCACTCATCAGCATCTCTCCCGGGCCTAGGGCGCCAAACATACTCAATCAATAAACTTCTAACTGCATTTTCCTCTTGGGTCTCTCCAAAGTGAAATCAGAGATGTGAACTTGGCAAATTTACTAAAACTGAACCAAAGTCTACACCGTTGTGGGCTCACAACTATTCAACTATCCTTTTACACCATGTTTGTGTTTGCATGTCGGTTTAAAATAATGGATACACACACTAGATGCTGGTCAAATTTGTTAAAGTCCTTTGTCTTAATATGGGCCAGTACTATGGTAAGTACCTGGTACTTGCTGTATAATTACTGGTGTTATCATAAGTACTTGTATTGAAGTTATTTGTCTTAATATGGGCCAGTTCCTATGGTAAGTACATGGTACTTACCGGTAAGTACCTGGTACTTGCTGTATAATTACTGG